CAATACTATACATATATTTGTATTGTATAGTTGTTAAGTAACTAAACTGTGCATATTCATGTTCCTTTTATTATAAGCTTTCGTTTGACCTGTGATTCATGTCCAGTCTATCTATTACTATCTCTCACATTCATATCCACTTTTCCTGAATCTTGTACAAATGTGTATTTTCTATTTTTATGGTACGATGTTGTCTGTTTGGTCGATATGTACACACCCAGTATGTTTGAAATAAATTATTTCAATATCACAGTGGCTGATATTGATGTTCTCGACTGAACAGGCAGGGCTAGGCATGAAGCAAGACCAATAACTACTCTAGACTGCTCGTACAAGTTTTATGCGTCATTGGTCCGGTCGATAAATTACTGTTCTCTACTTGACGATATCATTAGATTATACAATAATAAGACACTGGGCATAAGTTATAATATAGATAGTCATTAGAACTACCAAACTATTACATTATTATTATTATTACTAACGAATTCAATCAGACTTTACATAATTATAAGTTCCAATTATATTTTACACTTTTACATTTTCTCTCTTATTTATTCACCCTTTCATTACATTAGTCATACTTTTTTTGTTTTATTATTGAAATCATATATTATTTACAGTGTTTTAATCTTTACTTTTATCGTTGACGCCTTCTATTTTTTTTCTTTTTGCTACAGAAATAGAGATAATAATAATAAGCTCACATATCAACAATATTACAAGGGAACATTATTGTTACTATGAGTATTATTATTATTATGATTAGTTTATAATTCTACATATTTATTTTTCTCCATTTTGTATGAAGGATTCATAATCTTTTGTTTAAATGAATTCATTAAATGTGTTGAACAACCAAAAAGAAAAAAAAGAAAAGAAAAAAAAGAGAAGAAAGAAAGAAATACTATAATGCATTAACACAATGTCATCCATGTATAATGATTATCTATCATGTCAGATTTAATTTCTTTTTTCATTATCTTAGTTTATTTACTTCTTTCTTTTTTCTAATATTTATTTATTATCTAATCATCTGCTTCCATTAGAGAAGAAAAGAAAAAAATAATCAAATGTAGGACGTATATATACTACTGAATTGTAATGTATAATGATTTTGTTAATAGTAATATTTAATAATATTAATGGTAGATAGGATAATGTATGATTATTATTATATATAAACATTAGTTGAATGTAGGTGAAGCTAATTCAAATATCTCTCTCTCTATATATATAGCACATTTGTTATGGATTAGTTAAATGTTTTCTACCTTTGTTTTTCCAATAGCCAATATCAAAGAGTAATTGATTTTGAGTATTATTTTAATGAGTATAATAAATGAAGATATGGTGTGTTAGCTGGTTTTCTTATTTGTTGATTGTTGTCAATGGAAAATTACAGTTATGATATGTTGATTACTTACTTACTTGCTAACACCTGTTCATCCTCGTGGAGAAGCTAGGTCGACCACCATCATTCTCTATCCAACCCTGTCCTTGACATATGCTATGTTCATTGCGAATAAAAGATATATATATATATATATATATATATATATATATATATCTCAATGAGTGGAAAAAAATTCATTTATTACGTTTCGTAACTCAATGTAGGGAACTTCTTCAGTGTAAGATGTGGTTTATATTAAGCTATGAAATACAATTCTTCTACTCATTAAGGTATAATAAAATTATATTTATTAATGAGTTTCTATTCAATACTCAATTTATTTTATAATTTTTGTCAGATTGTGGGGATTTTAACAATTTTAATAGTTTAATTCATATGTCAATTAAAGTTAGAACACCATGTAAAACCTGGAAGCATTGGATGGCTGTTTTGTTGTAGTAATGGGACTTTTCAGTAATGCGCATCCATGATTTCGCGCATGGAATCCAAACTCAGAAACTTAGGTCTCCCGCGCGAACGCTTAACCTCTAGACCACTAAGCCGACAGGTATCTATCGGTATTGAAGTCTAACTTCAACCAATCCACGAAATCTCACAAACGTTCACCATTGTGTCCAGTGAGTAACTGCCCTACAACAGATACTGTTGAATTCCAATGATCACAGCTTCTCACTAGAACTCCAGGAAATATCTCTTTAAACCAGTACATTAGTGAGCACATGATGATTATTATCAGACTGAGGTTGAAATAAGACATAAACACCGTTGGATGCCGGCCGGCTCACTGGTCTAGAGGTTAAGCGTTCACGTGTGAGACCGACAGGTACTGGGTTCGAACCGTGCGCGCAGGATCGTGGATGCGGACTGTTGATGAGTCCCACAATGGGATGCAATGGCTGCTTAGTGCTCCTAGTGTTTATTATGGTGGTCTAACTTCAATTGACTCATGAATTCAGCTATTAAATTGTCAGCAATTATTGTTGCAAATATCAGTTGTAAGACTAAGAGCATTATGTTCATCTGAATACATAAGTTTTACCTAAGAATTTTAACATCATTAAAGTGGATAACGTGTTAGTAAGAACAGTATCTAACCATTAATACTGATAACATATGATGTATAATACAGTTCACTAATCACTAAATTCCAACTAGTTGTTCATTGCTCAATCATTTCAATATTTAACTTCATTTCTTATGGTGTATAATCTTAGTTGAAGTTTTTTAGTCAGTCAGTTAGCTGTAACATTGGACTAGGCACATATATATACATATGCATTGATCCAAGTTGACACACAAGATGATCAACAAATTCATAGAAGTAACTACTTCAATGATAGTAATATATAAAAGAAATATTATGTATAAGAATATAATACAGAAGGAAAGATATAAAGCATTTTTAATCTCATAATTTAAGGGAAGAAAAACATTGTGTATACATCGACGCCATTGTGATCGATTTTAAGCCATGTCATCTAGGATAAATGTATCTATTCTATACTCTTAATAATAGTAAGCATAGATATGTACATATATGTTTATGTAACCTAGATTAAAGAAATGTCCTTGTAATTATTGATTCTTTTTTTGTTGTCGTTGTTGTAAATTATTCTTCCTTCTCTTTTTCTCTCTCAAATTATTCCTTTCTTCTTTAAAAATTTTATTGTTATATTACTTATTATTTACTAATAATTATGTTATTTCGATTTGGTCAACTCGTGTACGTGTTTCTATGTTTCCGCCATGTTTTTTTCTAAAAATAGAAAAACAAGACCCAAAAAAACAAGGTAGAGTTAGGTAATTAGTTTTTGTTCAGTAACTAGGTTAATACAATCTAAAATACAAATAATTATGTATTATTAGTTATATTGAAAAATATGTACATAATATTGAATAAGTAAACTATTATAAACATTGGTCATTAGCCAGTATTTAATCAATTCATATCAAAAGTGGGTTTTTGTAGATATCATAGTCATTTTAATAGTTGAGATCATGAGTTAATTAAAGGTGGATCATTATGGAAAACGTGGAAATACTAGATGACTTTTTCTCTTATTGTGAGACTCCTCTGTGGCAGTGGGCATCCACAATCCCGACTCGCGAGATTCGAACCCAGGACATATCACTCTACTGACTCGTAAAGCGACCCAGAGAAATTTTGTTTTCCTTGGACAATTAGAAAGTTGATCTAAGTGTCAGTATTCATTCTTCAAAGTTGAATTTAAATATACTGAATTGAAGGATTTAATTCATAGGGATGATAACTATACCGCTCGGCTGTTAGGTTTGACACTCCTTTCGACACTACTCTCTCTCTCTTTTAAATGAATGTTTCATGAATATTTAGTATCCTACGTCTTTGGGCTATAATTAGTGCTTCTCTTATCAAGATTTCTGGACATAATGTATACAGTAATTATACTACGGCATAGCTATGAATTGGCCTATATAAGTAATACTGTTTTCATTGGTTACTGATATTTATATGATCCAGTTGTTTGTTAAAGCTATTAGTCTTCCAAAAATCAATTAACGCTAGGCCACCATGGAAAATCTGAAATCTCGCGAGATCGATCGTGGATGCGCACTACTGAGGAGTACTGTACTAGGACGAAACGGTCGTCAAGTGCCTCCAGGTTTCCTATGGTGGTCTAGCTCTAATTGACTCATGAATTCAACTATTAAATCAGACCAGTCAGTCAGCTACAACGTAAGACCAGGCACATATGTGCATCGGTCTTAGTCACCATACCTCATTGGCACAACAAGATGAACACCGGATTCATAAAAGTAGTTAATTCAGTAGTGGTAATATATAAAAGAAAGATTGCATTTAAGGACATAGTACAGGAAGAGAGGATGAGTTGTTAGAAAGAGAGATATGAAGCGATTTTAGTCTCATGGTTGAAGGAAAGAAAGAGAGTGCATACGCCTACACCATTGTGATCGACTGTGAGCCATGTCACCAAGAGTATCCAACCTTTGGTTACGATAGTCACGTGGACCACAAATGTGTAGTCTACATCTACCAACGTGGCATATACTAGAAGTTAGTTACTTCAGTGACTGATGCCATGTTTTGGTTTGGCCACCCCTAACCTTCTTTCAACCATCCCCAACACTAGTCAGCATTGTGTTCAGGCATATGCAACATTTGGTCCAACCATGTCAGTCTATGAAGATTCACAACTTCATCAACTGATTTACCAACATTCGCTAATGAAGTGCGTCTAACATCACTATTATCTACCCGATGATCCCATGAAATCTGAGCAATATTTTTAAGACATCTATTGTCAATACCAGTAGGTTACGAATATCTTAAACTCTTGATGGTCAGGTTTCACAGCCGTAATGTAAAACAGAACGAACTGCCGCGCAGTATACTGTAAATCATATCAGTTTAAGAATGATGGATTTTACTCTTTTTAATACATAATATTGGAAAATGCCTCTATTCATAATACATTCTGTCTCTTGGCATATATAAATAAACATTCGTTAAAGATATATATATATATATATATATATAGGCATTTCTTTGATTACATAATCTTCCATATATTTTTTATCATAGGTACTTCAATCACTTGTCATTTGTTTCCCTGTTGTGGATAAACAATTTACACAATTCTATTGGGATATATTAGATAATCGTTATAAATTAAAAAATCAAAATCAAATCATTTTCCTGGTGTAAAAATGAACATTACAAAATCGAGTAAGTATTAAAACTTTTCATTTTATTTAATCAATAAATTTGATCTTATTCAATAGTAATCAATTTCAGTATTTATTGTGAATATAATTGTAATCTGTGATCTGAGTTCAATTAGATCGTATAATTGATTGTTATTGAAATATGCATATTTCGGCTTATCCCATTACATGATTATCGAATTAGATCGTGTTAGAAAATAATGAAATTAAATAAGTCAAATACGAGAATGAAGTTTTGTATATGTATATTTCATGCATTCATTGATCTGGACAAGCAATCAGAGGAACAAAGCGAAGGAAGTGAAAAGAGAGTGTAGTGAAACTGTTAGGATAGTCGGAAAAACATACCAATAATTATCGTGTTAAGTCTATGGTGGCCTTGGACTTAAAATGTACATCCCCTATTGGCTATTATTTCATTCATTCGTTACATATTGTGTAAATGTTGTTTACTATTTTTTATGGTCGATGTGGTTTGTTTGGTTAGTATATAAATAGAGTATGTCTGAAATACAATGATTCATAACTCAGAGGCTGTGACTTGTGTTCCTGACTCAACTGGCCGGGACAGACTGCGAAGTGGGACCAATCAGGGCTCTAGGTCGTCCGTACATGTTTTCCGTGTTACTGTGATCGATCGATAAAACGCTGCTTATAGAAACCTGCAGTCCCACACGTTACAACAGAAACGATGCTCAGTGAAGAAAGCATGTGAGCCAACTCTATTTAATCAAGCGTTAATTGATATTTATAGCCAGATAAAAATAGATTACAGATATGTTGTGAATAAGAAGTGTACACACATATATACGGTCATATAATAACAGTCAAGATTGATAAATGAATAATTAACAAGGTCAAAACGTGACTATTCAAGAGAAATGGATAAATTGTTTTCACTTGGTTTTGTTTACTTGTATCTTCCCAGGTGGCTATCAAGACTCAGTAGCTAAGTGGATAACACGATGGCGCTTGAAGCGAACGGTACTGAATTCGACTCTCAGAGTGAACATCAATTCTGAGATGCAGTTGACGAGTCCTGAATAGGACGAAACGCGCGTCCTGAATTCCATTGCTAGCCACTATCCATCTATGGATAAATTGGTTTGTCCAAAAACTAGAATAAGCTACGTGGGCTCAACATAGTGCTATAACTGTGACGGCAGATTAGAGGACAGTGAATTATCGATCGGACCAAAGACGTGCAAACACGTAAGAACGGCCTAGGGTTCTGATTGGTCCTGCTTCCCTGTCTAGCCCAATCAGTTGAGTCCAGAACACAAGTCTCAGCCTCGAAGATATGAATCGTTATATTTCAAACACTCTGCTTATATACCAATCAAGCAGACCACATCGTACCACAAAATAGAAAATAACATTGTACTATATTGACCAGTAGGGAAAATGACACCATCACAAGTCCAAGGATAGCGTTTGACTTAACAGAATGATTTTTGGGATATTTTTCTGAATACCCCAACACATAGTAACTGACACTACAACATGTTCTTGGTTAAATACTCTCATAAACTTTCTAGCCTGAATCTTGATAACATGTTAGTATTTCCGTATGCGATGATAGGAATCTATAATCTTAAACTTCGCTGTTTGTTTTACAAATTGTTCAGTTAATATCTTTTTTAATGTAGGAATCGGTTGTTCAATTATATCTGACACTGTTTGATGAAACGTATTGATGAGGTCTCCTAAGGAGAAATGATAATTGATTCCTCGTGGTTGTTAGCATACCTACAAAAGTTTCCCACTTTTGGTTAAGTAGAAATGTGCTTCTACTCTAGAATTTCAAAACGATAGAGATTTACAGTTTAGGTTGATGCTTATAGTAGATGTGCATTTACCTACTTAGATACATTAAGTGAAGAGTTTTTATTGTTATTCTAAACAAAGTCACCAACATCTACCTCAGAAACACAACAGGATCAAAATGAGGTGTTGAATATATATTGGGTTGACTTAAGTTGACAAAATAATATCAAAATTAAACTAGACGGTAATGAGAAAGTTAAATTAAGAAAATACATTTTAAACTATTAGTCAATGTGATAAAATGTTTTGCACTACACACTGACTTTTAATCATTTTGCAATATGGTTTAAATGATCTAAATGGACAATTTGGTGAGACAGTAATTTATAGAGGGCCTTTGAGTGACGCTAAACTGACCTTGAGAGTGTCCACCTAATAACCAGGACCAAATGAGGGTTATAAACCTATGTGAGGAATTACAATTAAGATTTACAGTTGATGATCAAGGTTGGGAATTGGATTTAGGGAGTTTTCATCACGAATTGACATCAGCTATAATGCCAAAACTCTATTTGTCCAAATGGATAAATGAATTCCGTGCCAAAATCCAAGACCTGTTATCTTATACGTGATTGGTTCGTCCATAAATAAGTCTCGCCGACAATTTGCTCTGTTATTCGATCAATTAGTATTTTGTTATTCTAGGTTTACTTGAGTATTATCGAATATAACGAGTTATATATTGGCTTAATGATAATAATTTTCAGTTAAAAGCTAAATGTAATCAGGTTGTCGGCTGAAAGTTCTGCTAGACTTAACTTTTGTGTCATTTGGTATTCGACATCAAGCTCCACTTTAATCTTAAAGAAATTAATGCTCAATATTTCTGTGAATCAATCAGATGTAAATTATAGAGAGTATTACTTGTATATGCTGTCAACTGGTGTATTATCAGTACAGTAGATTATTCATATCATTGTTATTTCCCCCGATTAGACAATTTAAAAATTACATAACGTTTCTTGATAGGGCTAACAATTGTCTCGTAATTTGTTTTGTAAGAGTTCATACAATTGCCTTCAGTTTGATAGATTATTAAATATCAATGTTTTACTGAGGGATCATATATTTGTATCAGAAAGGGTTTTGTAGATATTATAGTAATTTTGGTAGTTGACATCACGATATATTTGGAGCTAAACCACCATGGAAAACCTGGGAGTACTGGACGGCCGTTTCATCCTGTTGTAGAACTCCTCCGTGACAGTGCGCATCCACAATCTCGACTCGCGAGATTTGAACTCAGGACCTATCAGTGTACTGCGCGAATGCTTTACCATTAGATCACTGTGGTGACCGGCATCCGACGGTGTTAATGTCTAATTTGAAATAATCCACGAAATTGAGTGAGACATCCACCATTGTCATCAGTGAGTTACTATCTCTCAATAGACCTGGTTGAACTCCACTGGTCATTGCTTCTCACTAGGACTCCAGAAAATACCTCTTGTGAAGCCAGTCACTAGTGAGCATATGTTGTCTTATATCAGAAGGGGTTTCTGTGCATACTATAGGAATATCAATGGTTGAGATTATATATTTCTTAATCATAGATACTAATATAGAGAATTTTTTTAATCTTTAAAATTATTTATGTCATTAACCAGTTATATTATGTGTTAACTTTTGTAATTATTTTTTTCTTTAATCAAGGTAACACTACACGTTCAGAATCTTGTTCATTTATGATTTATCCTAAATCAGCTTATTCAACTCGTTTAATAAATGCTGCTGGACGTCTTTTCTGTTTAAAGAATTCTAGTCCCACTAATACTACCGTTAATAGTAAGTATAATGTCAATGATGTACAAACATCACCGCCAACATCAATTACATCATCAGTTAAATATTTTTGTTTCCCATTAAAAGATTCAACACGTCAATTACATAAATCAAAACAATATTTATCAATAAATCGTGAAGCATCCATAGAGTCATCATTCTATCAAAATACCAATGAAACTAATAATCAAAATAAACAGACAGAAACAATCATTGATCAACCTGTTGATGTATCACTTGTATCGTTCACGGATGTAAGTTGATTATTTTTTATATTAAGGTAACAAATGTACAAAATCCCATTATACAGAATATTTTTTTTATTGGCACTAACTATCAGCATAGAAGTCAGCTGATAAAGATTTAGTGACTCTTAAACTAAGATAATACTGTCAATCTATGAACGGATTGTGGTGGCTGGTACTATGTCAAGATCACATAGGTTATTCTAGCTTCTGGACAGACTATTCTATTCATTCTTCTCAAGCCACATTTTGATTTTGGTACTTCACTTGTTAACCGTGACTGTTTTTATGTGATCCTATGTGTGGTAATAACTCACCCTATTCATTATGGGTTGTAATTTATTTTTGTCTTAATATAATTATTGAGTAACGCTTGATTCAGTCGAGTTGGCAGACAGGATGTACGTACGTACATCAGTTCGAATTGCCACACCAGATTAGCACAGAGATGCAGTTGTCGATTCAAATCCCATAGTGGTCGAGGTAGTAAGAGTAAAAAAGCAATCGGAAACATTAGGGTTTGAAGATATTATTCAAGGAGTATAATTGAGTGAAATAAATTAGAAAAGAGAAGAAAGTAAAGGGACATGAAGAATTCAGAAGATTATAATTTGGGAGAACACAGAGAGTAGACGCACCTGCGCCATTGCAAACCATTTTGAGCCATGTGTCGTTCAAGTCTCTAACCATCGGTTGCTATCATCTCGCGGTCCTCAACCAGGTAGTCTACGCCTACCAACATGGCTCAGTCCACTTGTCAGTGACTTCATGGATTTGTGCCATGTTTTGGTCTGGCCGCCCTTAGCTTTCTTCTAACCTACTCCTACACCACTGAGGCAGTCGGTCGTTGGGCATACGTAACACGTGTCCCAGCCATCTCAACTGATGAAGTTTCACTACTTTATCAATTGACTTGCCATCCTTACCTAGTGCTCGTTTCCTAACAGCTACATTACTTACTCGGTAGTGCCAGGATATACGAGAAGATACCTATGATCGAATACTAGTAGGTATCCAGATCAATGATAAACAAAACATACGTATTCAAGCTTCATTCTCGTATTTAACTTATTTTATTCCGCTATTCTCTGATGTGAACTAAATCGTCAATTATATACGAGGGTAGCTGGCACATATATTTTGATTGCAATCATTCATCCAATCCAATTGGAGTCAGGTATAGGTCCAATAAAGGATTTTAGTGTAAATAGTATTGATAGATATGGATTGGGATGTAAACAATAACCACAACAATTGTTCCTAACTAATTGTTATAGAGGCCGAGTTCTGTTCACTCTCTGTTTGGTTTTTTCTCAACATTGATTAATTCCCTCTTTTCGAAAAGCTATCATGTGTTTTTTTTTACTTTTTCTAACTCCATAAACACGATATTAATTTTAACTTCTCTGTTATTCAGCTTACTTATTTCATGTTGTTGATGTGATCTGGTATGAAAAAGAAGTTAGTCGATAGACATTCAAGTCCTCTTTATGGAAAAGGAATAATTTAATCTACCGTTGATGCTTTTCATAGATACAAAAGTAATCTTATAAAATAAGAACTAAGTTGTGTATGCGAACTTCTAGATAAGGATGAATTTGTATCGTCAATTATGAACTAAATTTAAGTACACACTAATGAAGATCAGGAAGTACTGAACACTTTCATCTTTCTCTTGGATTCCTTAGTAGTATACATTGATAATTGATCAGATGTCGAACCTGTGACTTCAATACTTTGCGACGAACTATCAAAATCGTTAAAAGTTTGGAGGTGGCGATTTGCTCAAATTGATATCTATCCATAGGTATAGAAGTTAAAAACAACCGAGAGTTATAAGGTTCATTTACTCAAAGAGCCTCGTACTAGGACGAAACAGCTATCCTATCCTTAATGCATTTCAAAGGTTGCTATTAATAATAATGATGAATAGCAGTAATAATAAGATCGGTCCGTAATGTAAACTAGAATATTCAACAGTATTCAAAACCTCACATAGTAAACAATCACCATGTGTTTACTAGTCGCTAACTTCAATAGGCAATTCCTGAAACTTGAACCGATTGAAATTAGTAGTGTAAACATCCAATGTAACCCTGTGATCTGAAGGTAATATCTAACAGACTCTCTTTAATACATCTAATTCAAATTTCAAATAATAGATGGATAATGCATCTGCCGTGCTAGAATTTTAGAGCGTGAACTTTTCGGAATTTTTAAAATGCATTTTGTAACTGATATTAAAGGATAGATCTGAGGCTGAATTTCCTGAATTTAATACATTTTGTTGAATTGAAGACGTAGCTGATCTACGCTTTTTGCTATGTATTGCTGAAAGATTTGAATTCTTGGGATTTGTGTTAAGGATTCCAACTGCTAAATCTCTTTTGGCAAATATGCATTTTGAGGAGATTGCCTTGATATTACCATATATCCTTAAGTGTTTATTAAAGTTGGATTGAGGCTAGAAGTGAAATTTATTTTACTTGTAACCCAGTAGCTAAATATACCTATTTCCCAAAGTTATAATATTTTGTGATATAATGTGATGGTATGCTCTTCGATTCAGTTACTTAAAACCTTAGTAACGGCTGGTCAACGCAATTACATGCCAAATAGAGACCATATATGTAATCACAAAAGTTGAATAATAATGGCTACATAATTTTTGTCTAAATGAACAGATTGATTGAAAAAAACAACAACATATAAGTTGTAATCTTGATCAGATGAATAAACCCTTTATAATAACTCGCTCACTTAATCAAATTCTCTGAAAAGAGATGCCTAACACATTATATGAACTTGTCTTATTTGTGACCGAATAAATTTTATGTATTCATAGGTACCTAATTTGTATCGGATAACTACTATTTTACCATTAACTTAGGACTTACATAGCAATGCGAAGATCTAATCATCAATAAAATACTAACCTCAGAAGGGGTTTTGTGGATATTATAGTAATTTTGGTAGTTGACATCACGATATATTTGGAGCTAGACCACCATGGAAAACCTGGGAGTACTGGACGGCCTTCTCATCCTATTGTAGAACTCCTCCGTGACAGTGCGCATCCACAATCCCGACTCGCGAGATTTGAACTCAGGACCTATCAGTGTATTGCGCGAATGCTTTACCACTAAATCACTAGGACTCTAGAAAATACCTCTTGTAAAGCCAGTCACCAATGAGACTGATGTCGATCTGTCTTCAGTGGACTTATGATTTCAACTATTAAGAATACTAACCATATAACACTCTAATTCGTAAATCGCTGAAAAGTTCCCATTATATTAAAACACAATTGTATGAACGAAGAATATTCTTTTCAATAATTTCTCATCAGGTTCTACAATTATAAATCCAGACTAATAATCCATAATCTGGATTTATAATTGTAAAACCTGATGAGAAATTATTGAAAAGAATATTCTTCGTTCATACAATTGTGTTTTAATTCGTAATTCTCCATGATGTTATTATGTCTTTTAATGAAATGTCTCACTCATGTAAGTATTTAGTTGTTGACAGAACATCACTCTTCCCCTCTCCTGATTGGCAGCGCCACCAAATGTAGTGAACAGACCACGGTGGGGACAATCGAATGTATTTAAGCACAAAATCACATAGCATCTTAATGAAATCTAACGATCATATAGTAAATGCCTAATTCGCAAAATGTCCACTAATTGTCTCAAAATGACTCAGACTTCATTGTTCATGCATTTTCATACAAATTGCATTGTGTTTCCATTCTTTACTGTTCGATCCTCTTGTCTATCTGCTGCCAGACATTCTATTCACGACTAACATCATATACTACTTATGTCGATTTGAGTAGCACATACAGCACCATAGTAATCTTTTGAACATTTTATGAACATTCCTTGTTGTTTTTTCTTCTTTTGTTTTGTTTAATTTAGTCATCAGAATGTAACAAAAGAACTAAATGTAAAGATGTAAAGTTTTCATCATATTCTAAAGTCAATGTACATAATGAATTTGATAATCATATAACAAATGAAATGAATACAAATTTCTATTCTAATCCTATCAGTCTTCGACGTAATCAATCGCGTTATCGTTCATTACGTCGTAGACAAATGGAAAACTTAACAAAACGTGCTGAATGGTTTTTACAACCAACTATATTACCTAAATTAACATTTACATTAAATCAATTCAATAATAATAATGATACAAATACAACTATGTCTACAATTTCATTATTAAATATACAAGATAAAATGAATAATACAATGACAAATCATAATTCTAATATGATACAAGTTATTCATCCAAGAATATTATTCACCTCATCAACAAGTGATTTATTGATTCCATCAAATTATGACCACCTAGATACAACATATTGTCGTCAACCCTATGATGAAACATTATTAGATCGTCAAAAAATCAATCCAACTCATTTATATCCATCCTACAATTATGGTCATAGTTTTAATAGTTTATTAAATCATTCATTATTGTCAACAACATCATCACCATCATCTAATTATTATGTTATATCACAATCGAATCAATTATATTCATCTCAATTAAATCAACAAAATCATACAATCAATTCATTACTTATACCGAATTTATCATCAGAAGAGAATAATACTTCAACTCATTCATTTCTATATTATAATATACCTAAATATTCATTATCATATCATCATGATTATGATCATATCAATAAACATGATCGTTTACAATCAACAAGTTATGATAATTTTCATATTCTATCCTATTCATCTAATCATAATATACATGAAAATAATAATATCAATCTAATAGATAATTGTAATATAACACCTACTAATATATCTTCTATATCGAATACAAATTATACTAATTCAACAAATCTTTCATTCAATGTTAAAAATGAATTATGTCATAATAATAATAATAAATTAACATCATCTATCTCAGGTTTAGATATTATTAAAAAATCAAATATGATTTATTCTGATTGGTCCATTGATCGACCAATCAAAAATGAACTTTTAAATCGTTATCGTCCACGTAGTCATAGTATTAGTAATAATAGTAGTAGTAGTCGTCATAGTAATAATGTAACTAAATTAAAATAATCTAAAATAATACCATCATAAAATGAATTTAATAATAAATAGATAAATACAAAATATAAATTATAAACTAGTTAATTGTTTTTTTCTCTTTATTCATTTATTTTATTGTTTAGTTACTTTTTGTATACAAATAGAATAAACATTATTGTCCTAGTGAATAGTATGTTAATGTTTTAACAATCAAAGACCTGTCTCTCTATCTCGTTCTTTGAACTTTGTTGATTTCGTTTAAAATCTAATCTATTATTGAAATGTGTTATACCTTATGATCATTTAGTACTCATTAGTATATATATATATATATATATATATATTGCAGGGAGATGCAAAATACTCATTACATATATACTTAGTGCTAATATCACACAAGTATATGATTCTAATTTTGTAATGAGTTCATTGAATTGAACATTTAATACAAAACAAACAAACATGACTAGCATTTATTTTGATTGAATGTTTATTTATTTATTTATTTGTAATTGTAAATGTATTTTAAAATTTTTCATGGATACAATATTTTAAAATGAATAACAACAAAAAATGACGGTCATCGAAAATCTTGCATTTTTATAATAGAAGAAAAACTCACACACACACACGCACGTACGCACATACACATATTGATAAATAGTATACAAATGCATTTTTCGATTTTTCTAAATGATCTCAATATGACATATTAAAAAATCAATAAATAAAGCAACATATTTATACTTTCCATGAAGATGAGTCTCATCGTGATCTTCGTTTCTTTCTTTTTTTTACTACTATTTTATTTTAATGTTTTCTTTACCCTAATAATCATGAATAAATCAAAGTGTGTAGATGTGTGTGTGTGAAGTAGTAGAAGTTGATGTGGATATACATGTATAATTGTAATTGTTTCATCAACATTTCTTGCTTATACCCTGTTTTCAAAATTTTAATGAAGAAGAAGAAAAAAAAAAACTATTACGTCATTGTATTTTCCAATTGTTTACTTTTTAATTTTTGTTTTCATGAATTTTTTTGTGTGTTTTATTCATTAAAATGTTTTTTTTCTTTATTTTTATTTTTTTTGTGTGTGGAAATTTTTTTTCAATTCTCAATGATTTCTTTTATGCTACATATTTTGTGGTTAATCTGTAATAAAACAATAAAAACATACTGTGTGTATGCAGAAAAAAAAAGAAAAAGGAACATTTAGCGTACTTTTTTTCTTTTTTTTTGTTTTCTTTTTTTCTAAAATAAATAAATATAGTTCATTTAATTGATTTTAAATTTTATTATTCATCATTTTCCTTAATTGTTTATATAATTATTAAAGTAAATAAGTTTGTTTCGCTTATTTAAATCATTTGTATTGGTCAACTAACAACTTTTATTGAAAACAAAAAGAAACAAGAAAGAAAGAAAGAGATTTGATGAAACTTGTAATTGTAGTATTGAATTATTGAATAATTGATTATTTATAATATGATCAAGATCATTGCAATATCTATTCAAGGTAAGAAGGATTGTTCTTATTGAGTTGATTGAATATATCGTGTTAAGATATTTGTCTTCATGAAATATCCAAGAAATAAACTGATTTGACAATGATCATGACCATTTGAAAGTATAAATGGAAAGCTTAAAGATATCAATTTTTGTGATCGATAACACAATCGTTGAACATCAGTGATTTTAGGTACATTAGCTTCATATAGGGACGAAAATCTGCTGGTAAGGTTATGTATAGCTGATCTCATACAACGTTTTCTTCTGTTATGACAAAGTAGCATGTCTTACTGTTGTTATATCTTAGTATAGTTGACAATATCACTTACCGTGAGATTATAAGTTTTCTTCTTTTTGTCTATTCATTAATTAACTAACCTGCATAGTATAGTAGGAAATGAAGCAACAATTTTCAAAACACTATGTCCCATTTGAGATGCTATGATGATATACTTTTAATTTGTGAACATTTTCACTTGTTGTAGTACGTTGTTAGTTTGATTTTATCAATGGAATCCTCCATACTATTAGAAAACAAGATATTTTCTTGAATCATGTTTATCTTCATCAACCTCAAAACTAACATACTGTCAAATTATCATTGGGTAGATGAATAATTTAATGATTTATAAAATAACCCAAAAATAATTGCATCTCATTTACCATTTGATCTTAGCAAGATCAAAAAAGATCCAATTTAGTTTTATCCACCATGTCAGAAATATTGTTAAATATCTTATACTTATCTACTTACTCTTTTTACCCTTCGTGGAGGTTCATAGGCTATCAACCAGCACTATCCATCCCACTCTGTCCTGGACAATCTTTTCCAGTTGCTATTCATCCTTTTCATATCTGCTTCCTACTTCCGACGTAGTATGTTCTTCGGCTTTCATGTTTTCTCTTCCTTCAGGATTTCAAGTTGGGGCTTGCTTCATGATGTAGTTTGCTGATTTCTTCACTGTAAATCTTATTTATTTACGTCTTTTCCTAACTTCCTGTTTAGACGGAAGTTGGTTTGTTCTGTCTTACAGAAGGCTGTTGCTGGTGATACCCGACCAACGGATAAATACCTGGTACTTAACACAGAAGTTAATTCTCTTATATATATATATATATATATATATATATATATATATATATACTTATGTCGGTATAAGTAGTATATAACGCGAGTCAGCAATAGAATTTCTCGCAGAAGAAAATTGAGAAGATTGAGAAGGGAAGAACGTGAAAAGTGCAGGAATAGTGAAGTCTGAGACGATTGATTATATTTGAAAAAGGAATAGTCAAGTTTGAGACAATTGATTGATATTTTGCAAATTAACTATTTACTGTATGGTTCTCAGATTTTACTAAGATGTGCTGTAATTTTGTGCACAAATACGTACGATTATCCCCACTCGTGTTCCTTGTTCGCTACAATAGTACCAGCATATGTGTGAGATTCTAAATATTAAGAGTTTATAACTAAGAGATTACATTTAGCTGAAAGTGTGATTATGAAGCAACTAACTGTCAGACTTATCATGTAGATAGGTGCAGAATGAGTGGTTGGTGTTATATCCTAGTGGAGATTAAATTACGGGTAACTTCCTAGAACTATTAATGGACTAGTATTATCTATATATTCTTATGGTATAACTATTCAGTAACTAGATTGTATATATCTATATTTCCCTTATTATAAACTTCATTTTAACCTATCGACTATTATTATAAGATTTACTGTTCTTTAATTATGTTCACTTTGTTAATTACCGTCTCCCACAGTCTTAGCCACTTTTTTGGCTTAATTTTGTATAAATGTTATTTCCTATTTTATGGTGCGATGCGGTCAGCTTGGCTGGTATATGAACCAAGTACGTCTGAAATAATTGATTCGCATAGTGAAGTCTGTTATTGATATTCTGGACTAAAGTGGTTGGGCTAGGCGAGCAACAGACCAATAGGATGCTAGGCTGATCAAACCGATTGAACGTCACTGGTTTAGTTCAGTACAAGAGTGAATAAGCCGTATTTCGATTGGCGAATAAATTAAGTGATAACTATCTGGACTTAAGGTAGCATCAGTTAGAGTTTGCATGAGTGTCGTAACTAACGATTGGAAACTTTAGGTGACATCCCTACGAATAAGTTGAAATGATTCAGGCGGATTCATTCTAGTTTTCTTTATATCCCCAGTTTTATAATTATCATGTATATCATCTACCCTATAAATCAATTCTTTCTTCATGAAGAATATCGTGTATAGTTTATCATTTCTATCATTATTATTGCTTTCATCACTACTACGAGTGCTACTAATTCCGTTGCTCTAGAGTTTATCTACATAATTTAGTGTTATAGTACATTTGATTATCCTCAATTGTGTTCTCTTTCACTACAATATTATAAACTTACTATGCATTTAGCTTAATATATACAACTACTATTTTAGTGACTTAGAACCCAGATACTTTAATTTAAAGTGTTTCATGAGAAAAGTAGTCTAAATTATAAAGTATTCTCTTTAAGTATACTTCATGAAAGAATAATCAATACTAATGCTTACTGAAAATAACTTCCAGACTGATTTCTTAACATTGTATTTAGAGACTGTATTTTACAGAAACATTCAATGAATTGACTATTATTAATGCTAATTCTAAGCTAATAGTTGACTTAAAAGGAATTATCATCATTTTAATTTTGATTTGAAGTCTTAGACGTTTTTTTATGTTTGCAATAAGACTTTTAACTTTTAGATGAGATGAAGTTAAGGCTTTTGACTTCGCAGTTGATCTGGATCTTTTATCGCACACTCAATAATAAATGTAGAAGACGACAACCAGTGTAGCAAAAGCACTAGGTTTCAGCATACACAAAGGTGAAAGCACGATTTTTGATACAACACAACATTCACCAGTTGAGTCACGCATGACGGAGAAGCTTTGGCGGATGTAGAATCCTTTATATATCTAGACAGCATCATTGATGAACATGGTGGATTTGATGCAGATGTGAAAGCGCGGATCGATAAAGCAAGACCAGCATATCTACAACTGAATAACATCTGGAACTTCAAATAACTGCCAACCAACACCGAAATCAGAATTTTCAATACAGATATCAAGAGTTTTACTGTATGAGGCGGAAACTTGCAGAACTACGAAAGTCATCATCTACAAGATACAAGTGTTTATTGACAGTTGCATACACAAAGTACCTCGGATCCGTTGGCCTGACACTATCTGCAAAAATCTACTGTGATAGACAACAAATCAGATCCCAGCAGAGGAAGAAATCAGGAAGGAGAAGCACTGGAAGTGGATAAGACAATATTGAGGAAAGCACCGAACTTAGTCATAAGGCAAGCCCTCACTTGGAATCCTCAAGGCCTCAAGGAGAAGAGGAAGAACTAAGAACACATTAGGCGGAAAAGTAGAGACAGACAATTTTAGTGATGAATAAGACATTTACAATTAAACAATATTACTTCCAAATTAAAATCATTCTACAATAAATTCACACATAACAAAACTGTTAATTTTGATGTAGGAGGAAACAATCAAGTCAGCTATAACTAAATTCATAATACCATTCATTCACACTAAACTTTAATATAAATATACTTCAAGGTTATATACATGAACTAATTTCATGTGAAATGAATAAGAAATTCATATCAATTAGATATAATAAACATGAAAGTGTTAATAAGTGTTCGAATTGTTTTCAGTCATATAATAAACAATTAAGAAAGAGAATACTCAACTAGTGTTAATAATCTAAATGAAATCATTAGAAAA